ATTACGAATTTCACATTCTGAGTGTTACAGGCTTCTTCGAAGTTTCTCAAAAGTCAGATGTCGCCGAAATTCGGATGTGCCAAACTGATTGGCCGATGAGATTGCAGCGCATCAGCTGATGCGCGCATGATGCGATTTTTCGAAGTCGCATGATGCGCGCATCAGTTATGCGCCCGATTGCTAGGAGAGGAATCTTCTTGGAAAGCGGTAACGTTACAAATTTCGAAAGCCAAAAAGGCCGTTCTGCAGGCATTCGTGTGTGTTCTGCTTCGGCAGCCATGCGCTTATCGCGAGCCTTGATAATCTGTCTCCAGGTTATCACGGAAGGATCCTGGAACCATGGTAGAACGCATCAATGTACATTGATGCGGGCTGATGCGCCTGCAGAACGCAGCCCTGGCCTGGTTTGCAATGTTCCGTAGAAGTGTGCACGCTGCCGTGAGGCCTACCATGATACCCGCAACAATGTGACACGTTATAAGTAGTGCCTTTGAATACATTCTTCATATATACCGTAATGATTGGCTAGCTTTTCGGAGTCACATCAGCTTTTTGGCTTGGTTGGCTGGGATGGAGGTGTTTTGTGTTGTGTGATTCCCCAGACCCCCATTTGAAATCGATTACTGCCACGCGGCACAGACCTGGCCGTGCAAGATCGTCACACGACCTGTGCACTTTAGATGCGGACACGTTGCTGTCGAGCAGACCGCCCTGGGTGGACCGCCGACAGGTGTCGCATAAACTCTAGCTTTCACCACGTCACTCCGTCCTACGCAGCAACCTCCCGCCCATCCAACAACAACAGATTCCCGCTCCTCGTTTCCCTCAGTGCCCTCAAGCCACCCCTATATTTTCCCACTGACACTTAACCACAGTGCATTCCCCTAGCCACCTTTCACGCATTCCTAGACCGACCCTACACCACACCCAGTCCCACCGACACTGCGCTCAGCACGGCACTGAACTGCATCACCCTGAACATAAGCATCCAATATTTCGCACCATTTCACATTCACAACTCTGGTCAGATCGGACCTGGGGTCGTCTCGTCCGACCAGTAGCAATTCAGTGCTTCTCTGTTCCATCTTGAGGGAAGAGCCAGCCAGCCCAGCCCAGCAGTCTGAAAAGGAGAGGGAGGTTCTCAGACCTAGTTTAATTTCTTTGTGGTCACTCTCCGTGACCCGTGCTGATCAGCCATGGCGGCTCTCCAGGCGTGCTCAGCGTCCAGGCTGTGCATATCAGCAGCTCCTCGCCAAACAGCCGCGCCGCGGCGAAGAGCCACAGTCTGCTCTGCGGACTCCACTCCCCTCTACAAGCCCCTCGCTGCCTCCTCGTCCACTCAGTTCACCTCCTTCTCCCCTCTCCCTTCCCGCGCGTCGGCCACCGCCTCTCCCCGATCGCGCTCGCAACGCTCGTCCGTACGATGCGCGGCGTCGGACCGCTCTGCGTCGCAGCCGCGCATGATCCAGCACAAGCAGGAGGCGTTCTGGTTCTACCGCTTCCTGTCGATCGTGTACGATCACGTGATCAACCCCGGTCACTGGACCGAGGACATGCGCGACGACGCGCTCGAGCCGGCGGATCTGAACGACCGCAATCTGCGCGTGGTTGACGTGGGAGGCGGCACGGGTTTCACGACGCTCGGCGTGGTCAAGCACGTGGACGCCAAGAACGTGACGATTCTCGACCAGTCGCCGCACCAGCTCGCTAAGGCCAAGGAGAAGGCGCCGCTTAAGGACTGCACGATCATTGAGGGCGACGCGGAGGACCTGCCGTTTCCCACGGACTATGCCGACCGTTACACCTCTGCCGGCAGGTGAGAGACGGTGTGTTTGTAGCTGCGTGTGTGTTTCGATGTAGCGACGCACGCAGTTGTTGAGTGGTTGGTCGTTTTTAGGGAAGGAACGATGTCAGGGCGATGGCTGACCGTCGATCTGCGCCTCCGTTATCACCGTCGGATCTTGCTCCTTTGTTTTTTCACCTTTCGAGCCTTGCAATTAGTTTACACGTGTCGAGATTATTCTGGCCAACTCCTTTGCGTATCGACCGTGATCCGCTTAGGTGACTGTTATTTTTAGTGCGACAATTTCTTAGCATTGAAACATTGAAGACGTACCAAGAATAGTAACCGAAATTGAATTGAAATTCCTACCCCTAATTTTCTCATTACTACTGTCGGCCTTCGCAATGACTCCCCTCCTGATCGTCTTATCGTCTCTTATTCCTCCCTTTCTCTTCGGCTAGTCGCATCTTCCTATCTCTCCATTGTCTCGTCCTCTCTTCTTCGTCTCACTTTCCCATTTCCCTCCCTGCATCTCTCCTCCGTCACTCGCGCGTCCCTCTCCCCCTCAGCATCGAGTACTGGCCCGATCCTCAGCGCGGCATCAAGGAGGCGTACCGCGTCATCAAGCCGGGCGGCAAGGCGTGTCTCATCGGGCCCGTGCACCCCACGTTCTGGCTCTCGCGGTTCTTCGCGGACATGTGGATGCTCTTCCCCACGGAGCAGGAGTACATCGACTGGTTCACCAAGGCCGGCTTCTCCGATGTTAAGCTCAAGAGGATCGGCCCTAAGTGGTACCGCGGGGACCGCCGCCACGGACTCATTATGGGCTGCTCCGTTACTGGCGTAAAGACCCAGCCCGGGGATTCTCCTCTTCAGGTAAGACAATTCCAGCGATTCCTGACCATGGTTGTTTCGTCACTTCATATAAGTGCTTGGAAAATTCAAATGACGTGTTGACAAGGCGGGACCACGTGTGTGAAATGGGAAGGAAGGAAGAAACAGCCGTTGTGTGCCGACACATTGTGGCGTCACTAGCTGCATCTGCTTGCAGCATTGCCTTTCCTTTCCAATGTGTGTCCTTTCTTGCTCCATTCTCTCTCCGTGTCCTCTGTCGTTCCTGCCTCATCACTCCCTCCCTTTCTCTCTTCTCCCCTTATCCCACCATGCATTAGCAATCACATACAGCGTTGTCACTCAACATCATGTTTTACATTGTGAAACGGTTCTTCTCTCGTATTGTTTTCCTGGTTTCCACTCACATCCCCTGTCCTTTCCGATACCCTTCCCTTATCCAGATGGGTCCCAAGGCTGAGGACGTGAAGGGCCCGTTCAACCCCTTCTCTTTTGCCTTCCGCTTTATCGTGGGCACCATCTGCAGTCTGTACTACGTAATCATCCCTGTCTACATGTGGCTCAAAGACCAGCTCCTTCCCAAGGACTGGAAGTTCACTGAGAACTAGATATCTGTTTTTTGGCAATGAAGTGCTCCCTTTTTAACTTGTTATCAGTTGTTGTGAAGCTTTGGTGAATTGTACTTGCTTTATAATCGTAGGCAGTTATCCAGAATGCAATAGGTTGTTATTTCTTGTGCAACTGATGATATCATCAAACGACCCGTACATTGATGTCAACAAAGGCACCACCTTCAAAGCAGGCCCTTCAGAAACAGGGTACGGGTAAAACGATGACCCCAAACCTCAAAGAGGTGCACTGTGTAGGTTACATGATTACATCACATTATCCTTCTTGCTCACACCCAAAAATATGTTCATGAAACCTACATTCTTCTGCATTCATTTTCAGGTCAGATTAGTCACAAGTGATTCCACATCATCCTTGTTGCACTCGAAACCAGCAAACATGTAAGATACTGTACAACAAGAACGTGGCCTAGCTGGGCAAGTCGGCTGTAGAAACACGCTCAACCCCTTTATTTTCTGATTCCAGTGTTTCCCAGTCTCCCTTATTATGATGTTTCCCTATATTCCTCTAAAAATATTTATCAACTCTTCTGCAAGCAAGAGAGGCAATTTGGCAGGCGAGGTATGGTGATGGGGTGTGCATGGGAGGGGGCAAAACTTGTAAGGACAAGAGTAGCAAAAGGCAGGAAGTGTCTTGAAGACAGCAACAAACAAGTGACCAACAAGGAAAAGGTGCAACTGATATTGAGAGCAACACAAGAGACGTGTAGTACTCACTTTGAATAATCCGCAGAAGTGGCCCTGCAAGAATACGATGAGAGACGGATGAGAGCGAAGGGAGGAGAGTGGTTACGTGTGTGAATGAGGGTGGGAAACACAAATGCAAGCACACAATGCATGTGTGTGTGCGTATACGAGTGTGCGAGCGTGTGTGAGAGGGAGATGGGGACGGAAAGAAACTAGACAGTGAATGACAGATCTGGGCAGCATGCAAGCACGGCTACAAATCACAACTCCAAAGCTTGCAACTTGGGACACCTTGAACCATTCGCATTAGCCACTCACATTTTCACATATGGCAAAGCTTAGGGCGTCCGTGTCTGCAAGCATGTCCAATGCGTTCCAAACCTGCACACGCAACAGTCATGAAATGCAAACAGTGAACCTCCCGCCGCCTGCCGTTGCCTGTCTTCATTACCCACTGCTAGCACTGTGTGATCCCATCCCACCCAACCTAATGACTGGCCATGCTACCTTGCAAACAGGCACCTCGGAAACACACAAGGCACCATCCTTTTTGCACCAAGGGCCACCCCACAGTGAATTTTAGCTCGTTTCAAGTGAGAAAAATGTGTGCATTGGTTCACCGTACTACCCGAGACCCGAAACCTGGAATCTCGGGCAAGGTAAGCTTGCAGTAGCAATCAGTGGTTATGAAGGGAGCGGCATTACCTTGCAGCAACAGAATGGACATTTGCCATGGTTGTCAACAGCAGCAGAACGAGCCGCCAGCTGTCGATACAGCCTGATGGATTCGGTGGGGGGGACGACGGGAAGATGTGCAAGTGAAACACAGCTGTGCAACGCGGGTGCAATAGGAACTCAAAGAGGGGCAGAAGGAGGTGGGGGGGAAAAGGGAAGAGAAGTTGGTGTGTCCACCCAAAGATTCTGACCAAGAATGGAGGAGAATGTCGGCTTGAAACAGCCACGGGGAACAGCAACGAGGCCAAATAACGCATCCATCTGTGTGTGAGCAACTTTTGGGAATTAACGGTTAGAGTGATTCCCAAAACTCCTTACATGGTGCGTGGGAACGAATCGATGAAGCCTCGGCAGACGGAGATGTCCCACATGTTCAACGATGGCTCCATCACAGCAAACGACGCCCCTGCCTCCCCCTCCCCCTCTCCCTCTCCCTCTCCCTCTCCCTCCTCCTCCTCCTCGAGGGAGACGGAGAGCAGCGCGGGGGGGAAGAGATACGCGAGGAGGTAGGGGGAGAGGAGGCACGTCTCGTCCACGTGGCCCACAAGCCCCATGATCTTCTTGCCCATATGTGCTTCTCTCTCTTCCGCTGTTGTTCCCTCGTCCGCTTCTGCTAAATCTCCGCCCATGTCCCTCCATACATGTGTGTCTCGCGCTACAGCATCGCCATCACCTTCAAGACCAGCACCAGCATCAGCATCAACCGCACCATCAGCACCATCGGCAGCATCAGCATCCTGAGCGCCGGCATCATCAGCTTCCTCTTCAGGAACACCAACAACCGCATGATTAGAATCACCATCACCATCCCCGTCACCATCACCCACCACGCCATCGTCAGTAGTATCATCCCACATGCGCCCATACCGCTCCACAAACTCATCCCCATCCCAATCCGCGTATCCTGGCCCCCTCGGAATCGCCTCAATGTCAATCCCTCCTCCTCCGTCCCCCATCTCACCCCCCCTCCTCCATCGCAATCTCTCTCCGATTCTCGACACAACCGTCCTCCCCTCCCTCCCCGCCGTCGTCTCCCCAACCCGCCTAAGCAACCTCCTGCCTCTCCGTACGGCTGCAAGCTGCGCAGTCTCCGCAGCATGTTTCGCCACGACGCATGCGAGATAGCCCACGACGATCGGCAGGAAAACGACGATCACAGGCACCCACGCGACGCGCGACGCGGCGCGCCGACACCTGCGCCACGCGCCCCCGCTGCGAGGATCATCCGAGATAATTTCGGAACAGCGGCTCGCGTCGTCACCGTCAAAGTATCCGTCGGACCACCATTGGCCGACTTTCTCCATAAGCTCCGAGATTCGCGGGTTCTGTAGGCTGAACGGCACCTCGACAATACCGGGCGAGTAGCTGAGAAGCTTCGGAGATTGAGCGGCGGCTGGTAACCCGACGAGTTTTCGCTTGGAAAGACTCGTTGGGCGAGTCGACTGCGCGTCACCGTCGCGGCCGTTCAGAACCAGCTTTTCCTTCTCCTGTCGCTCGTTAATATCTCGGACGAGATCTTTCGCGCGGGTGTGACAGTAGAGGGGCCAGAGGTCGGTCGTGGCGAGACGGCGGAGCCGCGTGCAGCAGGAGGCGAGGACGGCGATGGCTCGGAGAGGGCGACCCGTCATACGCGCTATAGACAGAAGGACATCCGCGTCCAGATCGGTAAACCGTCGCTTGATGGGAGTTTCTTGCAGGAGAAAATACATCGGTGTCGGAACACGGTCGATCGTCGAGGGACGAATATTAGCTGATGAAGCATGGTCAACGGGACGGTCTACTGCATGGTCAACGGGATTCTGGTCAACGGGATCGTGGTCGACGGCACCGCTTGCCATGATACCCATTGAGCCATGCTGCATCGCGGGTTCGCCACCAATCGTCGTTGCCGTCGTTGAAGCTTCACTGGCGAACACCATGTCACCATCTAGGTCGCTTATATCGCCACCATCATGATGATGGTTATTCATAAACTCAAAGTCAATGTTCGGATTCGTCTCGGATGGGACGGTCGAGTCGAATGTGCCAGAAGGAGACGTCCATGGTTGATCCTCAAACTTGTTAAATTCATGGCGGTAAGAATCCCGCGTCGTGTCACCAGCTTGCTCCAACGCCCCGTCGTTGAAAGTGCGTTGTTCTTGCTGCCATTCCTGTTTGAGTCTGACTAGGGTTTGCGGTGGTGCCTCCATCGTTGTTGAAGTGTCGTGTGGTGACTGATAGAGCAGGCTCCTCTCTAAAGCTGGCTCTGTTCGTGTCAGGAATATACGAATAGATGCTATGGACGAGGTAAGTTCAAATGCGTACTATCCACCAGCGAACTAACACGTGAAACTTGAAACTGGAACTTATCGCGCACCACCAAGAGCAAGAAGAACGTCCATGACGGGCTGGTGCGGGGTAGGTGTGGTGAGAGAAGAGGCTTGGTAATGTCCCTCAGGATTAGATTATTGACGTACTAATAGGGACGCTTCTCAAAGAACCTAATAATTTGATATTCCTCACCAATCGGGCTGGACTACCGCAGTCCAAGTGCAAGAATCACCCGTCTAGACTGGTGGGGCATGACAGCCCCTATAGTCTAAAAATCAGAATCAGTGCGCTAGCATTCAAAAAATTGTCACACCAATCGAGACAGTCTGTGAAGAAGTCCCAGTAGACTCATGGATCTGGATCTGGATCTGGCCGCCATGGATATTGTCGATCTGTTTAACTCGTTCGCTCTAAGAGCTCTCTCGGATTTCGCTTACAAGAATGGCATTTCTGGATTCAGCTCAACGCATCGCGCAGTTCGGTATAACTTTCGTGCCTTTTCAACGGGCATCATATCGGGCTCGCTTTCGGGCTTCTCCAGGTTTCATGCTTCTAATCTCGAGGCTCTGCAGGTTAAGCTACTAATCCCAAGGCGTGCCAGTTTCTCCGCTACTTTATATCCCGATCGGTTTTATACACCTAGTTATTTACAACTTATCAAGACCTTGGGACTTCACAACTCCGGTTTCTCCACCTCGGAAACTCAGCATCAGCTACTTGAATGCTGGTCCTCTTGCATCAGCATCCACCCACTTAAACGGCTGGTTTCCTGCTGTTCAACATCATTCAGTCAGATCAGCTCCAGCAAGGCTCTTCTCCCACAGCTTCTGCTCGTCACAATGCCTCCGAACAATTCCCGCAAGGCTGTCACGGAGATAACGCCGGATCCGGATACTCCGCTGGTGGTCACGCCTACGGTACCTGTTGGCACAGACAACGAAGGATTGAAGGATGAGACGGAACTCCCCTCGACCAAGGACGCAACGGCGGCTGGCTCCTCTGGTCTCTCTGCGGAAAGCAAGGCTGACGTTCCAGCTTTTGGTGAAGAGCTTCAGGACGAATCTGATGATGAGCTCGACATTGACTTCATGACTGATGAGCTTTGCAATCTGCGTCACACGGCTATCCTGCTGATTCCTTTTATGCTCGCTCAGGAACTTGCCTCGGTGGTCTCGACGGTCAAGGTGCTGATGAAGCGGGTCTGGTGCAACGTTCTCTCTGCTAATGCCGCTGACTCTGCGAAGTTTCAGATCCTGCAACCGGCTTACATCGCGAAGATACGCTTCTGCAGGCTCCAAGTCTCGTTCCTGTTGGAGGGTGATGCGCATGGAGTACGTCAGTTTGAGGTGGATTATCAGAGGGTGAACGGCAAGCTTGTCAGGCTCTACTGGCAGCACACGGACAACCTGGCGTTCGTCAGGGAGAGATCTACTAACCCTCTGGCGGTCGAGGTTATTCTCCGCAATGTCTCCGCTTCGGTCACCCCCGAAGCACTTCAGCGTATGCTCGCTCACTACAAGCTGAAGGCCAGTCAGAGGTCGATCTACAAAGCAGGTCTCAGCTTCCACAGAGTTCTTCATCCCATTACCGGTGCTGACACTGACGTCGTCAAAGGCTTGGTGGTGCCTCACGACGGGAAAGTGCGCTGGCGGCACGCGATCAATTACCCTGCTGATCCGGAGAAGCTGATCCTGATTCACTACCCGATGCTGTCATGCAAGCTGTGCGGTGGACAACACGAGGAGAAACATCACGATGCCTTTGCCACGGAGCGGCAGGGTAGCATCGGCAAATGGAACCTGACCCTCGGTCGGGCTCACAGGATCAATGGTAACCCGGTTTTCACGCGCTCTCATATGCTGTCCCATGGCTCTGCTGTTGTTCTCACCGCTAACTTGTCCTTGAACCTCTGCAGCTGCCTCCGTAAGGCTGAATCAGCTGACCATCCCCATCCTGCGAGACCCTGCGATTGCTCTCATCTCCACCGGGGGACAGAGGGAGGAGTGGCTGTGTACTCAGATGGGCTGCAAGAAGGCACACGGCGCGTCTTTCATGGAAGCTCTCGACCATGTCCGCTCTGCGAATCATCTATCGCACCTCGAGAAGCTTGGCACTGCCACCAGACTCACCCTAGAGAAGGCAAGCCTCGGTGTCACCTTGAAGGACTATGGGCTTCAGAACTCCAACGGCTCGGTCGCATCTCAGCAGCAGCGTCGGTAGTATTCCTTGCAGTCGGAGTTGTAGCCTCACTTACCCTGTGGATGCGTAGGGGTCACTTTCCTGTTGTCAATGGATAATAAAACCACCACCCTCACCTTCGCGACACTGAATGTTAACGGTCTCGGTGACAGATCTAAACAAGTTAGAACACGGGACTGGGCTAGGACAGCAGCGGACTTTGTTATACTGACAGACACTAGGCTAGCCTCCACCCACACTTACTGGAGCTCTCTTACTTCCTTTACCGTTGCCGCATCGTCTGCTCCGGCTAGGGCCAGCGGCGTAGCGCTCCTTTGTAGAAACCCTCACTTCAGCCTTAGAGACGTAGTCGCTCATCCGTCCGGTAGGATCCTGCAGGCCAGCGTACACGGGTTTGGAATCGAAATTGTAGTCTTAGGAGTCTACTTCCCAGCTGACTCGGCAACCAGGAACAGCTTCGTCACGAACACGCTAGGCCCAGTCTTAGATCTCATTCCTCCCTCATCCCACCTTATCATCGCTGGTGATTTGAACCTCGTAGAAAATCCGGTCCTTGATAAGTCTTCGAAGCTCGGATCCTCATATGAGAACGACAAGCTTTTCCGCCGTTGCGGCGCTTTTCAGATCTCAGACGCTTTCAGGACCCTGCACCCGAGGAAGAAGGAGTTCACTTTCTACTCAAGAGCGAAGAAAGCTAGCTCTAGAATAGACCGCATCCTTCTCTCGCACTCACCGCTGCCTCACCTTGACACCGCGAGCCACGTCATGCCAGAGGAAACCATCTCAGATCACGATTTCGCCGCCAAGGCTGGGCTGCATCTGTACCTGAAAGCCAACTCTGGTCCTGGCCTTTGGAAGATGCCGCCTGACATGGTCAACAAGCCGGGGGTTAAGAGAATCATTGATGCTACGGTGAAGCGTACGCGAGTTACTGACGGCAGCAGCTTTGAACTTCTCACCTCCAGGCTGAACGCCGGTCTTCGGTCCTACGTTCGGGAGGAAGGCAAGCGTGTCCGAGCTACCACTTCTCATCTCGCCGCTGCTGTTGCCAGGTTGAAGCAGGAGGCCATGGCGGATCCTCGGGGTTTCGCCCACGGTGAGCTCCTGGAGTCCAAGGTGAAGCAGCTGAAGGAATACCACGCGTCGCTGAGAGAACGTATGCACCTCTGCGCAGGAACAAGGGAAGAAATGGTTGGTGAAATAGCCTCCAAACACCTGACGGGGAAGATCCAGGCACGGAAAGCTAAGACTCAGATTGCGGAGCTGAAGGTGAATGGTACAACTATCGCGGACACCAAAGGGATTCTGGGGGCCGCCGCAAGTTTCTTCGAGGGTATCTTCGGGGAGGACCGTCGGAAATGTTCACGGAGATGGGTCCCGGTGCCGGGCAGGAAACTCTCATGGGAAGCCGCCAGGGAGCTGGAGGCGGACTGGTCGGAGGAGGAGGTCAAGGAGGCCTTCAAGGCGATGGCGCTAGCTAACAAATTCGCTTCAACGGCTTCGCTCCCCGCAGAGACAAAGGAGGCTGTTACGATACTGCTGCACAAGAAAGGGGATCGGGACTCCCTGAACAACTATCGCCCGATCACTCTGCTTAAGTCTTCCTACAAGATACTGGCAAGGGTGGTGGCGAACCACATCAAAAAAGTGCTTCACCAAGTTATTTCCCCAGAACAATACGGTTTCATACCTGGTCGGCGGCTGTCAGATGCGGTGGCTCTGGTCGCTGATGTTATCGACGCGGCAAAACATGGCAGTGAAGACTGGTATCTTCTTCTCGTCGATTTCCAAAAGG